GGTATTGTGATGGTTGAAAGCATGGGCACCCGCAGAAAACCTTCTAGGGGGGTGGGCAATAAAAAATTGATTAACTTTCCATGGGGGGGGGGGCAAAAAATGTTTAGTAATGTTTTAATGTAGTTTTAATTTACTGTTGCGTATTTGCATGGTGAACGAACGGACAGGACACCAGCTTAGTTACTTTCTCTTTATTTTATCTTCACTTTAAAACATTTTTTGTCTATTTTTGTCTATTTTTTTTTATCCATTATGTCCAGGGGGGGGAATGCCCCCCTTGCCTCCCCCTTGCGGGCGCCCATGGTTTACAGTATCACTGTTGTGCAATAATTTAAATAAAACAATTGAGTTGCAATATTTTGTTAAGTGTTACTAACTTTTCGGTACAACCACGGTTAAACCACTTTTTACAAATAGGAATAAAGAAAATCGTCTTAGCTCATGAAGGCCAAGACCGTTTCTCAGGTTGTTAATTTAAGGGTAACAGACATATTGTTATAGACAGGTTTTGACAGTTTGATAGTCTAAATCAAGAATAAAAAAAAAAACACAAAACAACTAATAGTAAAGACTTTGACGATGAAACTGGCCACTTACGTCTTCGATCTAATAATACGGCTGTGAGGAACAATTGGGACATTTATTTATAACGTGGGTCAAGCCCTGGGGACAAAAGCGAGAGAACTCATAGCAGAACCCCCTCCCCATCCTCACCCCAAAATAAATATGTATTTATTTATTAGCAATAAACATGTAAGTCGATCCTAATCATCATCATGTCCATTAGTCCTTGGACCGTTGGGGCGCCACAGATGACATGTGAACCATCCTCCTCCATTCCTCTCTGTCTTCAGCACTACGCACTGCATCGTCCAGTGTTAGTCCTGTCCACTCTTTGATGTTATCCTCCCACCTTTTTCTTTTTTAGCCTCTTCTTCTCCCTACTCTTGTGGTGCCCTGCAATATTTCTTTGGCACACCCTTGTTTCCTTCTAAGTCGATCACCGTGTTGTAAAATATATTTTTTGCCGGAAATCAGTTCGCTAAAAAAAAAAAAACCAACAAAAAGCAAAATAAACGGTATTAAAATCACTTGATATAAACAAAAAAATCAATGGCCCAGAAGAGACCGCACTGAGTAGCTCTGGTTGACCTACAACCTTTTGGCTATCGGCGTCACGTAAACGATTTTTGTTAGTGATGTGTGCCGGCATGAGTTTATTCTTTTAAAGATGAATATGTTAAGTCGGATAAAAAGTATTATTGTATCCAACAAAAATTGTATGGAAAAGCTAGGATTAACATGATAACATCCTTGAAATGGGACAAACTATTTTGGCTAATTCTTAGGAGAGACTGCTAGATTCATCACCTTATAGTGTAATCAAGCATTGAAGTGTTCCATGAAAAATCACTTCCTGTAAGGTAATGACAGGAAATTAAAGTCTAATATGTTTCTGTTGAACTGTGAGAGCGTGAAAGAAGCACGGCGTTGACCTGATGCTAAGACATACGGTTCTGCTACCTCATTGTTTGGTAGCAAAAAATGGTTTCACTGCGTATGGAGCATTGTTGATGAAGCCAGGGGCGTAACACCATAGCAAGGGGAAACATAGTATGATTCAGCAATGTTAGTGACTTTACAACTTGGTACTTAATAGCGAGAGGCGTAAGCCATTGGCTTAGGGAGTTATCTAGATCAGAAACAATATTAAAATTTCGGTAACGTTAATTTCTTCCAAAGACGCCAGTATTCAAAAGACCTAATAAACTGTAATAGCTTTTGGTAAACAGCATACTAGGATATGATTTAATATATAAAGGCATGGGCGCCCGCAAGGGGGGGAAAGGCGGGGGCAAGGCGAGGCACTCGCCCCCCCTCCCTCCTGCATTGATTGGATAAAAAATTTAGACAAAAATAGACAAAAAATGTTTTAAAGTAAAGAGAAAATAAAGAGAAAGTAAGTAAGCTGATGTCCTGTCCGTTCGTACACCATACAAATACGCTACAGTAAATTAAAACTACATTAAAACATTACTAAAAAATTCCCCCCCCCCTAGAAAGTTAATCGTTTTTTTTTTACCCCCCCCCCCAAGAAAGTTTTCTGCGGGCGCCCATGCATAAAGGTAATTTTTAAAAAACTAGAAAGTTAAACGTTTTTTTTTTACCCCCCCCCCCAAGAAAGTTTTCTGCGGGCGCCCATGCATAAAGGTAATTTTTAAAAAACTGAAACATGCATAAAAACGATATTTTCTATTAGGAGAAAAAAACAATAGATAATGAGTTATTTAAAAAAAATTAAAATCTTTCCACAGTGAAACCACGCATTTATCTTTTGAAGCGAGACTGGATTGCGTTTGTTAACTAGGAATACATATATATTTTCAAAGTACATATTTTTTTATTTTTTTAAACCCCCTTATAAATCATTGCTGAACTGCAGGAGTAGGGGGGCCTGAAAAGGTTTGTGGAAGTTGTAAATCCTAATTGTTACGTTTGGGGATAAAGTTAAAAAGAAATCATTTAACAAAATATTTACGTATTCCCAAGACTTTGGAATACATAATGGCATGCGATTTTTAAAAAAATAGCCATTCATTGACTCCTTTCTATGGGTTTGTTGTTCCCTGTGTAGGAGTCTCTCTTGAAAGAAGTGATTTTCGTGTTGCATCTGGGTTATGGAAAATGGCTTATTTTTTAAATCCTTTATATTAACATCGTTTGTGTTTGTGGCTAGTTTTTTTGTGAAATTCCCGATAACTGCGTTATTTTTTAAATTTTTTTTAAAGAGCGTTTGGTGCCTACAATTTTTTATAGAGTTTCTGAAATAGTTGGTGAAATAAATCCCGCGGTGTGGGTCATTAGAGTAGCAACATAGTTCATGGGCGCGAAAAAATGTATAGTTGCGAGCCATTGGTGGAAGAGTGGGTGGGAGGAGCACTAAGTAGAATTCTTAAAATGTGCGTTACTTAAAAGTATCTGATTTGTATGTTAATTTCCCTCATATTGCTTTTGCAAATTTACTTAAATTGCAGCTACTTTGGAATACGGCTTTTCTCTATTCTCCTTATTAGGGGGCACCTCTACCTAAGAATTCTGAAAATTGAGAACATTCTACAAATTTTGTTACATTAAAAAGCCTCTGTGTTAGGCATTTTGTCTTGCAATCGAAAGAGCAAAATTTGACTTAGACATCTTTGGTCGAATCTGTTGAGTTCCGCTCATGACTGGCAAGTGTGGTCCACAATTTACTGCCATATTGGAGCGTACTGAGCACATATGCCTAATAGACGTTTAGTTTCGGTTTTTCAGTGAGTTTAAGATAATTCCTCACCCGGTTATTCAATTTAGATTAATAAGACACGAACAAATTGTGTCAAGATAACAATAAAAGGAAGCTTTAATAATAATTATACATTATACACAAGTAAACATTTCGGCACATGCCTTCATCAGTACAAACAAACAAAACACATTTAAATAAGTATAAATTAAAGTTACATAATATAAAAATACGTGTCCTACCTAAAACAGAAAAATAGGAGAGGGCGCTAAAACCAGACAAAAACAAAGTAAAGAGGAGTAGAAAGGAAGTGATTTTAACATAATTGTAAAAAGCAACAGGAAAAAGACATGGCAGTTAAGTAAAATTGTGGATTTGGTTCATTCCATATGGAGACAACGTACCAAAGCGAGTTATTAATTTGTTCTCCACATAGATTCTATCTGCAGTGTTACTAGTATAGAGTATACCAGTAACTGCAATGTCTGAGATGCCATCATGGTTAGGGCTATTGAAATGTGCTGAGACCGAACAGAGAGCGTGCTTATCTATGTTATAGTTGCTGTTACTTTTGCGATCCCGTTGTTCACATCCTTGTCCAATACGCTAGAGATATAGAACAAAAGGTATGTGAAATTCTCAACTTCTGACTTGTTTATGGCGTGAAAATGCTATCTTCGGAGTGAGGAGGCCAGGGGTGGACTGGGCCGCCTGGACACCGGAAAGATTCCCGATGGGCCGCTAGGACCGGTGATATAATAAAAATAAAAGTCATGAATATAGGGACGCTTTTTGTTTTTTTCCCAGGCCGCTTTGATTTTTTCCCGGGCTGCTTGAACTCCCCAGTCCACCCCTGGAGGAGGCTGCTTTTTTTTAGATATGATATTTTTCTGTAGACTAAAGGTCAATCCAAACACTTTACATGCGTGTGAGAGGCGAACAACGACTCAATGAAGATATCCTTCTGTGAGCGATATCAAGGCGGCACAGTCAGCAACGAGCAGTTCACGATTAGTACACTATTTACCCTTCTTTGTGTATGAAGGAGGGTTTTATTGTACATCCTACCCTCAGATGTGGTTTGGATGTACACGCTTTCTTCACGGTCCCTGAAGGCAATATGGAGACGCATTTAGGTTAGATGTATAAATAGATAAATATTTTTTTGTAAATATGTATAATATATATATATATATATATATATATATATATATATATATATATATATATATATACAGGTGACTGATGACATTATCATATCTTTTGAAACAATCCAAGTACAAAACCGCGTTTTTTTTTGTATTGTTGAATAAACCTTATCGGAGCACGTCCGAATTTCTGACAGACAAGCACGCCCGGGCTAGGAATGTAACTAATTTTTTCTTTAATGTTTTGCTGACTGATGTGGTTTAAGACTTAAATCGTTCAATTAAAACACAAAAAATTTTACAAGAATCTTGTATTTCCTGATATGAAACTTACAATATAATTACTCATCTGCCATTGTTTGATTTTTTAGCGCCAGATAAATTTGCTAAATAGAAATCTGCTTTGTACTAATAATAGCTATGACTTAAGAGTGTAATCATTTGTCTTAAGCACAACAAGCCAAGTTTTATGTCTATGTATACAAATAAACGTGCCTAGTGGGGGGTACATGTGTACTAACCAAGTACAAATAGAGCGTCTCTGTTGGCGACAAAAATCTCTTACACACGATTGATCAAGTTTACAGTTCAGTGTTCGTAAGAAGCTAAACGGTTTCAGGTTATAAAAGGTCATCCAATCCTTAGACTTGCCATCCTGAGACCTGCAATATAAGGTTGCAGTTGCATCTTTGTGATTGAGCCGTGAACATGACGTCAAACAAAGACGTTAACATCATTAGGTGCGCCTTAATAGTTGCGGTACTCATGCTTAAACATTGTTGTAAGTATACGTAAAAAATGTTGACGTCACAAAAACGAATTTATTAATGTATGTTTCTTAAACATTAAACTTAGACAAATACTTTCATAGAATATTTTTTAACGACCTGTTTTAAGTTAAAAAATCATGATACAGAAACAATTTAATAAAGTTTTTTTTTTTTTTTTGTTGGAAAGATGTGACAAAAAGTTGCGACATTTTCTATTATCTATCAACACAAATGTTATATCTATGTTTTGCTAGATTTGTTTTTAAAAAAATAACCAACATGCTCTTAAAACCCTTATATTAACTTGGCGGGCTGGGTGGCAGACTGGCAAAATCTGCAGACGACTAATAGGCCACCTTCCTATCATCATATCGAGACACTTTGCCGATGACAACACATTCCCTCCAATTTTCATCCCCATTCCCAAGCCCATGAAAATGGGTTTTTCCTGTTTTTATAGTTGAAGATGAACGAAATATGATTTCGCAAATAAAATTCCTTATAATAATTGCTCTAAAGTACGTTTGGTGCGTGATATGACCGTCAATTGACCAACTTCACATCCATCTATCGAGCTGAAACGTGACACGCAAGCTCGTTCCCGATGATATCACATTCTATCAAGTTTTGAGCCCTACCTGCAACACAACTCCAAAAGCCAGTTTTGACTTGTTTATGGGAAAGATGAAGGAAATATGATGACGTTGAATTCACGCAGTAAAATTCCCGAAGACTGCGCTAAATGATATTCTTTTGAAAAAATATGTTGCAAGTGCATTTGGTGCGTTATATTTTATTTTGTTTCTCTGAAAGTGTTGGTGAAATAAACTTGCTGTGTCAAAGCAGGTGGGTCATTAGAACATCAATAAAGTTAAGGGGTGTGAAAAAAAATTGCATGTGTGAGCTTTATGGGGGCTGGGGTGGATCACTAATTTGAATTGTTATAAAGTGGGTTAATTGTATGTATGTTTTGTCACATTTTCAGCTTCCCTCCCATTGTTTTATTTTACATTTTATAAATAATTTATACGATTCTTATAGCTGTTTATTTAATAATTATAATAAGCAAAAATTATTTATTTTTTTGCGCTCCTTTTTAAAAAAAAGTTTGTTTGATGCTCAATGAAGGCATGGGAGTTTTATTGTGGGTGCCTATTGAAAAGTTCCTAACATGATGATATTGGTTTTGCTTAAGTTTCTAATAAACTAAGCTAATATAAGAATTTTAATGTGATATTTTTCTTTATAATACTTTAAAACTATTTGATTTGTAACCGCCTCTATGCTGCGATAGAACAATACATTGGTACACACAACTTAACTTCTTTAAAGAAAGTGAACCCATTGTGAATAGAACGCATCACTAGATGTTCAGTCTACAAAGCATACATTTAGCACTATGGATTGTACTTAACAAGGTTGGATTTTCGCTTGTACCCACTGAATATAAACGAAAGAATAAATATAAAATGATACCTTTACATTTGAGTTTTATATGTATTGATATAACCTCTAAAACTTTGAAAAGGTGAGCTTCGCCTATAAATATTTACGTATTGTCTTAGATATGCATAATGCATTTTAATTAGGTTAAAATTTCACTTATAAATGTAATAATTTGTTGACTAATTAAAAAATTCAACCAAACATTTAAAAAATATTCTAAAACAAAAAGGTTTGGCAGTCGAGGAATGTGTAACGAGTGATTATTGCACATCGTCTACATTTTCCGGCTACTGTGCTATTCATGGAAAATGCAAATGTGTCGTTGGATTATCAGCTAACTCCGATGGAAATGCTTGTGAACGTAAGTTAAAAATAATTGGATAATTTTTAAAGATATCTTTCTTGTAGAAAATTTCTTTCGTAGAGCTGATGTAAATTATATCAAAATGAGTTAACTAAGTTTAATTTTGCATGATTCTCCTTAAACCATTTTATGATGTTTCCTAGAAAACGCTCTTAAAATATTTCAAATTTTTTTTTAATGCTTAGTTTTTGCGCTTATATTATCTTTGAAATAAAATGTTATTTATTTATGATTGTTTTTAAAAATGTAAAAGACTTAAAAAGTTAAGCAGCCCTTTAGACATATTGAAACATCAATGCGTCGTTTTGGCACAACAGCTTATAACCTTACCACACCATGTCTGTCAGCTCAGACCTCACTGGTGCATTTCTTTTCCATGCTTGGATTCCCAGCTACTGCAGATCGCTCTCCACATCATTCATCTATCTAAGATTAGATATGCCTTTGAGAAGTTTACAGTTGGGGTTTTGGTGATGTACCCTCTTTACGCCTCTGTCATTTGGCATTCTTTTCAAGTGTCCAACCTAGTGTAGCCTGCACTTATTTTTTATTTCTTCTTCTAGTGTGTGATCCTGATCAAGTCTATACAATTCCTGATTGGTTCGTATTCTCTATCCATATTCCTCTTCTGCTGGTCTGTATTTTTTCCGGAGAATTTTCCTCTCCCTTGTGTTCGATAGGTTTTTGCCTTTTTTGTTATTGTAAAAGTTTCAATAGAGTATGTTACAACTGGACTGATTACAGTTTTAAATATAATTTTCTATGTTTTTCTTGCAATTTTTTAAACTTTTGATTATTTTCTGAATTCTTAAGTAATCCCTACTTCCCATGAATATTCTTTCTTTTATTTCTGTTAGTTATTCTATTCATTCCTGAATTTTCATAAAACTCCTAGATATTTTAATGATTTACTTTTTTAAAAGTGTGGTTTCTAAATTGATGGTTGTCTGTTCTTCTCTTATGAATTGCGGTGATTGTTTCGGTTCTTAACTTCCAGCCCTGCTTGTAGTGATGTGTCTTCTAAATGAATACGACTTTTAATATACTGTTGATACTTTACTAAACAATCATATGTAATCAGCATATGCAAAATACTGATGGGGTTGATTGTAGAGATTATATTTTGGTAGTGAATCTTGGGTCTCCTTCAGAAAGGATCCTTCTATTCTTACTCGAGTGTCAATATGTATGCTTCTTATAAATCCCTCTAAAGTAAGGATAAATAGGATACAAAACACCGAGTCTCCTTGTCGTAGGGCTCATTTAATCTAAAATTTCATTTAATATTCTCTTTGAACCTTCCTTTTCCTTTTTGGTTAAGTGTATCAGTCTTGTCAGCTTGTTGAGTATGCAACACTTCTGCAGTTTCATATAGATATTTTCCTTTGATGTTGTCATATGTCATTTTATAGTTTACACAGTGTTGATGTTCTGGGATAATATTTTCGCATCATTTATCCAAAGGTAATAGGCATCTGATGAGGAAAATCTCATCAGTCGTTGATATATTTTGTCTGCATCTACATTGGTAGTCTTCTAGTGTTTGTTTATTGTACGGTTGTTGTTTTTTGGCAATTAGTTTCGTCAGCACTTTGCATATTACATTTAATAAATGCACGCATCAAAATTTTATTGGATACTCAATCTTATACAGTTTTGTCGAGAAATAGCTGCATTGTCAATATTCAATCCAATTAAGTACAGGTAATTTTACTCTATAAAAAAAAAAGTAATATTTTCAGTACTGAAGAATGTAAATTAAATAAATGTGAACAGTATACGTTTTACAAAAACGAAACGGGACTTGTTAAATACAATAACAGTTATAGAATCTAGATACATGGCAAAGTTTACAGATACCAATCGACATACAAGACGTTTTGCCAGGGCACTCTTCAGAACGCGTTTGTGGTTTTATTTATATACACCATTAGTAATAACATTTAAGAGGGTAGATGAAAGGTATGACAATGATAGTAAAACTAGCCAAGGATAATAACAATCTTGCTATTCTTTAATATTACAATTGTTTATTACAGTATTGTTAATTTTTATTTGCGTTAACTCGCAATATAATATCTTTTGGCATTTCTGAAATATGCGTGAGAATAGAAAACGTTTTGACAACAAAATACAAATAGGGCGTCTCCGTTGGCACCAACGATCGCTTACACAATATTGGTCAAGTTTACACCACCGTGGTCGTAGGAAACTAAACGGTTTCAGGTTATAAAATGTCATTCAATCCTTAGACTTGCCATCCTGAGACCTGCAATATAAGGTTGTAGTTGTATCTTTGTGATCGAGCCGTGAGCATGATGTTAAACAAAAATATCAACATGATCAGATCTGTTAATTTTTTTAAAAATGTGTGTTTATAAAAGTTAGAAATCTTTTAGAGATATTGTTAAAATAATGTGTTTATTTTTTTTAAAGTTAATTTATTTTAGAATTATCTTATTCATAGTATAAAAGAATTAATTGACGAGTATGTCTAATAGTTCCTTATCAATTAATGCCGTTTAAATATATCAAACCGTTCTTAAAGAGATTCAAAAAACATATTTGGTTTATTTACCATTTTTTTCCTTGGGTTATGACATGTGAAACTCTTACACAAATACACAATAAGAAAGAGTTCTTCTAAGTATAAAATAATATTTCGCCATCAGATCTAAGTAAAAACAGGTTATATCATTAATATATGACTTTGCAAGCTTAGCAAAAGAAATTAAAAATAATTTTAAGGGTGTAACTTGCTACACTGCTACTTTTGGCCTTGTCATACTGTTATCCATTATTCTACTGCTACACTGCAGAATACTACTACTACTTCAAAAGTATATAACCTTCTAAAGATCCCTTCACTATATTTATATTCAATTCCGTATACAGCCACATTAACCCTTTATTAACAGAGTACATCCACATACAACACATTCTGGGATATATTAATACATTACGATTCTAATTACTGTTTATTTGTATGGTACCAGCCTCAATTTTGACTAGTTTTACGTTTCTATATTAATTAGCCAATTACTTAATTGGTTAAAGTTATAATCAAAACACATTTTCATCAAACATTGTGCAAATGGGAATTTTGATGAGGAAATTCAAAGTATTCCCTTTTTCCTGAAAATACCATTCATGTGAGTTAAATGAGTTTAAAAATTATGACAGTGTCTCAAAATTTAAAGATATCAAAAGCGCCTATGAAATTTGACTATATTTTTATAATGAATTACTGTAAAATAGTTTAATAATATTTTCCGAAAAAATTGTTAAAATTATTCTCAGTTTATCAATTAAATAAAACATTAAAGATGTTGCATAAGTTAACATGTCATTCCTCTTTTCAAACTTTAAAGAGAAAAAAAGTAATAAGTGTCACTCCAATTTTGAAAGTAGATTGATGGGCGTTGAAAATATAACCAGATAACATTGGGTAATGTCTTTTAGCTTCAACTAGGCTTGCCATATCTACCTGGGACCTTGTCGAGACACTCTGAGACGCGGGTGTACAATTGAATAAAAAATATATTTAATATAATTACATATCAGGTCCATAACAATGAAGCCCCGATATCTCGGGACGGATGGTAACCCTAGCTTCTACTTAACTACAGAATCAAATTATTGTTCAGTTGTGATGACTTTAATTTAAATAAATTGACGAACTCCCATTTTTGTTTAAGTAAAAGCCCCAACCATAACGGGTGTAACAGAGAACCAAGAATTGGTCAAGCAACAAAGTTACAGCCTGGTGTGCAAGCCATTTTTGGAAGGACCTTCTTATACATTCAGATGGTTCAAGTAGGTTTTTTGTTACAAATTAACATTCAAGAATTTTAATAATATAAAGAGTTTGAGTTCGGAACAATTAATAGAGGAAATTTAAGAGTGAGACATACTTTGAATCATTTGACATCCACATTTTAATCAACATTGATCGGATGTGTTCATTTTGTCTATGAAACTTATTAAAATAAAAAAAAATATTTTTTTTTAAAATCTGATTAATAAGATAAGCCAATCATATTGCTTTTAAATGACTTGAGAAATCCTCTAAAATTATACCTACGAAACAAAGAGACAAAGTACAAAGAGATCAAATACAGGAGACGTAATACATTGCCATGTTATTTATTTACATTCTAACATTACAAATACAAACGTTTTGTTTGACCCATGGCTATTCATAGATATTGTTAACAATGCTTAATTGATCGTAACATGAGAACGTTTTAATCTTCGGGACTTATAAGGTAAATGTTAAAAGTACATTCCATTTGAATGGTAAAGAATATAAAACTATTTTTCCTTGACATTAATTTAATATTTAATGTTAAAAATCTTTCTGTCTATATATATATATCTATATCTATATATATATTATATATATATATTTATTTATTTATATGTATATTTATTTTTAAATGTATACTTTAAAACTTCAGAGACTCTGGTACTATACCCATTGCTACTAGCGATACATATTCAATATCTAGTGCCAAGGACACAGATGGTGGAACCTACAAATGCTCAGTTACACTTAACGCACTTGCCCATGCCTCTCCTGTCGGCAGCGTTGAAATTCACCTCAAGATTTCCGGTAAGTAGATTAAATTAAAAGATCTTAATTAATTTTAAAACAATTTAATATGCATATTTCTCAATTGAAGTTTAGTTTCGCTATTATTTAAATATTAATATTCCTGATGTATTAACATAATGTTACATTTTCATGTCCCATCCCTGCTTTTGACCAATTCGCAATTCATTTATGTCGGGAAGATATTAATTTAAAAGTATAATTCCCCTTGGGGAAACAAAGTAATGTGCTTGATGTAGCCGAGTGGTGGTGAAAGAACAGCGGCCAGTTTTAAAATATACTCTCAGTAAATTCAGGTCTCGTGTAAACAGCTTTATTTGGTTCTATAAGCAATGCGAAAGTAAAAAAAAATCTACGGAAAACGTCTTAAGAAAAAGTCCCAAGAAGAAGTCCAAAGAAAAAGTCTAAAGAAAAAGTTCAAAGAAAAAGTCTAATGAAAAAGTCCAAAGAAAAAGTCTAAAGAAAAAGTCCAAAGAAAAAGTCTAAAGAAAAAGTCCAAAGAAAAAGTCCAAAGGAAAAGTCCAAAGAAGAAGGACAATTCTAAAAGACACAAACAGTAAAGGTTAACATAATCTTGACCAATATTGAATTACGCCGTATCCGGAAATGTTTTTGAAAAAAATTTTGTCGACGGAAAATTGATCGACGAAAGTTTGATCGACCGGAAGTTTGGTCAAATTTTATATTCAGTTCACACCATGAAATTTTGCGTGAAATTTCTCTTTGAACTCATCCTTTTGTTTCACTTTATAGTATATTGCGTTTAAAAAGAAATGTGAAGAAGTTTGAACGTGTGAACTGAAAATAAAATTCTATCAATCCTCAGTTCGATCAACCTTTTGTCGATCAATTGTTTATATGGTTTCGTGTCTGTCAAGAAAATCATTATTTAATCTTCTCAAGGTTATAAAAGAAGGCCGAATATGGTTTAGAAAAAACAAAAAACAAACAAACAATCCCTCTTTCACCCTGGCATAACTTCAAATTTTGTGGCTTTATGAAATTTTTATCCCAATTTTTACTTGATATTGTAAGGAAACCTTGCTTACTCTCTGCTAAACTTCATCTAGATCTGGTACTCAATAAGGAAACAACTCCGGCGATAACATTTAAACTCGTGTTCTTTTTTGGGCTGTCACTTGCTTACACTTTCACTCATCTCACAACTCTGACTTCTCCCTGCTATCTAGTTCTCAGTCCGTCCGCCTTCTCCTTTCGTCCCGTCCAGAGATCCCTATTTATACCTCCCTGTCCCATAGTTCCTCTCCCAGGTCTGGACTGGCGCATTATACCCCGCCCCTTTTTCCCAATCGGCGCCAGATTACAAACAGACCAGGGAAATGCCCTGGACCAGGGAAATGCCCTGGTCAGATGGATGGCCGGTACCGCCCCCAGCGCTTGATCCTTCGGTCGTGTCTGGGTGGTCAGACGGCCGTAATCCCAGGTCAGGCGCCCCAGCGCTTGATCCTTCGGTCGTGTCTGGGTAGTCAGACGGCCGTAATCCCTGGTCAGAACTCTCCACACTACACCCATCTTACAAAACCAATGTCGTCCCGACATTACTAACACCCTCGATGCAGTTACATAACTGGTCTCTAAATGGCTTAAAGTGCCTCGGACCTTCAGCCTTCATTTAAAAACAGCTCACAGTAACGCACGTGTGTCATCACATTGAGGTTCTAGTGCACCTCCCTTCGTTTAAATCCTACGCGTATCTTGAATACTACAATTGAGTTATCGGGTCACAGTCAGACCTGAGCTGACTGAGTAGGAAAAATTATTATGTGCCAAAAAGTCAAAACCCAGATAACCGTCTTCTATAATATCTGCCACAAATACTGTCCATGGATACACTTTATCCCCAATCAACAATTTCACGTCACTCACCCCATGTAGATTCACTGATGCCCCATTTGCTGTCTGTAGATGTAATGGGGTGATGTGGGTATTCAACTTCGGTCTCTGCTGCATTCTATTAAAAGATCTCTTGGACAAAATTGTCACGGCTACTCCAGTGTCCATGAGGAAATCTGTCCTAACGCCGCACACTTTCACAGGCACAAACACAACATTAGGACGGAGGTTGTGACCATTTGACTTTGATGAGATGTGATTTAGTTTAAACGCTGAAGATTTCGTCCTTATGGTCTCTTGTTTTGGGCAATTCCATGAAATATGACCGATTCGGTCACAGCCAAAACACCTGGGTTCCGCCCTCCAATTACCTCTCCCTTCACACACCGGCTGGTTAACTGTTCATCTCTGCGAGGCGATGAATTCCTTAAGGTCCTCTCTCAGGCCGCTAACCTCTCTGGCCAAGTGGTCGGTAGCTATTGATGCTACTTGCTGTGTTGGTAAACAAACGTTGTCCCTCAGATTTAAGATTGTATCCAAGGAAGCTCTCGCCTTGTCCACGGTGGCAGGAACAGCCATAGTACCAACTTGTGTTACCATGGACTGGTCAGGCAGCCCACGTAAGAACTGTTTAAAACCAATGGCATCTCTTGTAGCCTGGTCTGCAATTGGGAAGCTTTTGGCAACCAATTTCTTGAGGTCTGTAGCGTACTCGGCCGTGGTCTCCGATTTCAAAAACGTGCGTTTTTCTAAAACTTTTTGGAAGAATGCAGGAGTTCGATGGTCCTTAAACCGATTAGCTAGGGCATCCTTGAGTTTCTCGTAACTGTCCCTCTCAGCTTCGCTTAATTCGCTGTACGCGAATTCAGCCGCCGAATACTTCAAAACAAACCCCAAATAAAGGAGTTTCTCTTCCTCGCTCCAATTGAGGATTTTTGCAGCTGTTTCAAACTGCACGATAAAAGTGTGCCATGTCGAGGTTCCACTGTACGTTGGGAGTTTGTTCAAATACTGAGAAGTCATTGTGCTTGCCTTAGATTTTCCACACCTTGCACTTCTCATCTCAGTCTGGCTACTCAAAAATATTGTCTCTTCAGAGTCGTTGCAAGGTTAACATCCCACCGCTGCCACCATTGTAAGGAAACCTTGCTTACTCTCTGCTAAAATTCATCTAGATCTGGTACTCAATAAGGAAAAAACTCCGGCGATAACATTTAAACTCGTGTTCTTTATTGGGCTGTCACTTGCTTACACTTTCACTCATCTCACAACTCTGACTTCTCCCTGCTATCTAGTTCTCAGTCCGGCCGCCTTCCCTTTCTCGTCCCGTCCAGAGATCCCTATTTATACCTCCCTGTCCCATAGTTCCTCTCCCAGGTCTGGACTGCCGCATTATATCCCGCCCCTTTTTCCCAATCGGTGCCAGATTACAAACAGACCAGGGAAATGCCCTGGTCAGATGGATGGCCGGTACCGCCCCCAGCGCTTGATCCTTCGGTCGTGTCTGGGTGGTCAGACGGCCGTAATCCCAGGTCAGGCGCCCCAGCGCTTGATCCTTCGGTCGTGTCTGGGTGGTCAGACGGCCGTAAACCCTGGTCAGAACTCTCCACAATATACCTAGTTGATAGGATAAGACATTTTTTGCCGGTAAAAAATAAATATGATTTTTTTCTATGTACACATAATAACAATATTTCTGTTTGCAATTTGATTCAATAAAAGTTTAAATGCGAAATACATTTTTTATTTTAATTGAGTAATCAATCAGTTCTAACGTGTTATAGAAAACTATAAAATAATCTGTTTAATCTCTTACTTATCTAACACTTCTGGTGTGACTCGTCGACTGCTTTCTAACATATTGCTTGCTAATAGAATGCTTCCTAAAAGACTTCTATTTAATAGACTGCTTCCTAAAAGACCCCTTCCTAATCAGCGAATTCTGAATTTGAAAGTATATTAAAAAATAAATCTAAATGTTTGAAAAAAGTAGGGTTCAATAAGGAGTTCATTAGCGCACAAAAATGTTAACTACGCTAAGTGATTTTCTTTAATAACGCAAATGCATTTGGTGCGCATTTTTTTGTTTTCAGAAAAGAAAATCGTCTCAATTTAAGTATGCTGTTTACAAACATATTCAACTTAAAAGTAGTTGGGACATTAGAAAATAATTAATATAGTTCATGGACGTTAAAAAAAAAGTGTGCAGTGACGTATTATGAGGGAAGGGGTGTGGCAAAAGTTAAGATTCTTAAATGAGCGTTTCTTGAGTTCATTGTACGTCAAGTAACTTTAGCAGATGTAAACTTCACGCATCGCTGTCAACAATATTTTGCGGGCTATATCTAGTTAGTAATATTTTGTTAAATAAGCCATCTTTGCTCTAAAAAGGTCTTATTTTATTCTCCTTTTCTTCCACAGCAAATATTCCAGGTAAGATTTATGTATCTAGATTGGCACCTGATAAAGTTTCAAATAAGATGTTTAGAAATTATGTGAAGACATATGTCTACCTTTAATAAGTTATAATTTATTTTTATGAAGACGACGTGTTTAAGTCTTATTTGACCGTGCTGTTAACTCTAAATGACCCCAAAACTCGAATGCACTATTATTAAAACGTGTATTAATGATTATAGTCTACCTTTGACATTCGCTACAACAGCTACGATCAATAGTCCGTTTTCTCTTAGAATCTTGTAGAATTATGTGGGGTTTTTGAGAGACCATTACAATGCATATTCTGTTCTCGAATCATCTAAGGAAATAGGCTAAATAAGTCGAGAATTTGAAGGGCAGACTCAGACGACTGACGAGAGTTATTTTAAGCGTGTGCTATTGGTTTTGCCTTACGAGACAGAGATTTATTTACTGAGTATGTGTGTAGATTCCTTTTCAGCATTATACATTTTTTACAACATTGTATGTTCTTCAACATTGTACAGGTACAAGCCAACCATTATTCTGTAAGTAAATAGCTTTAATTTATTTCATTTTGTTTTTTAAGTTTATAATTACCATAAGAAAATATATTTTTATAATAAGCCCTGGTTTGGGTATCATATTATTTCTTATTGTACTTAATTCATGATATCGTCATTTTTTGTATATTGTTGTAGAACGAACCATATAATGAAATAAGAGATTAATTTCT